TGACTCCTCAAGACCCCTCGTTGAGTCTGTACCCTTCAAGACCCCTGTTGACCCCTCAAGACCCTTCCTCAAGCCCTGACCCATCAAGACCCCCGTTGATGCCTCAAAACCTCTCATCAAGCCCGTACCCCTCAAGATCCTTGTTGACCCCTCAAGACCCCTCTTCAAGCCCATACCCCTCAAGACTCCTATTGACCCCTCAAGACCCATCATCAAGTCCATACCCCTCAAGACCCCTGTTGACCCCTCAAGACCCATCGTCGAGCCCTGACCCCTCAAGAGCCCCGTTGACCTCCCGAAAGGCTCATGCTCAACACCCCTCTCCGACCCTTTCTTCTGCCCACTCTGATAGTCCCTCGTTGGACTCCCGATTGGCCCACGACCACTGCAAGGCTGTGATGGATCCTCATTCCTCTTCTGCTCAAGCTTGCCCCTTGGGACCCTCAGATGCCCACCACACTGCCTTGGCCTCCTCCTCCGCTCACCCCGGATTCCCCTCGGGATCCTTGCAGCAGCACCAGCAGGGACTTCACGGTGACGACCCCACCGTCGACCTCAAGGCCTTCCCGTTCTCGGACTGCTCCCTCTTCCCCGAGGTGCCCCCTCCGCCAGTGCCCACCTTCCCGGACCCCCCAGCGCTGTCTTCCTCTCTGCCTCCTCGCCCGCTCTTCTTCAGGGTGGACCCCTTCACCGACTACGGCTCGGCGCTCACCATCTCATTGCCTTCTTCGCTGGAGCCGCACCAGCCTTTCCAGGTCATCATACGCTACACCACCATCGATGCACCAGCGGTAAGTTGACTTGTTGAGTTGAGTGTTTACATCAGTGGTTCCCAACCTTTGGTCCTCCAGGTGTTTAGGACTTCAACTCCCAGAAATCTCAGCCAACTTACCAGCTATTAGGAACTGTGGGAGCTGAAGGCCCAAAGGTTGGGAACCAGTGATCCACATACAGGAGTTGTTTATCTTGTCATAAGTGAGTAGAGCAGTGGTTCTCAACCTATGGGTCCCCAGATGTTTTGGCCTTCAACTCCCAGAAATCCTAACAGCTGGTAAACTGGCTGGGATTTCTGGAGTTGTAGGCCAAAACACCTGGGGACCCACAGGTTGAGAACCACTGCTTTAGAGCCTTGGAATAGTATTTAATAAAATTATTATTTGTAATGCTCTTTGACCAGTATCTGGCCACTTGGAGTGCCTCTGGTGTTGCGCACAAGAAGATCCTCCATTGCGCATGTGGCAGGGCTCAGGTTGCATTGCAGCAGGTGGTCAGTCGTTTGCTCTTCTCCACACTCGCATGTCGTGGACTCCACTTTGTAGCCCCATTTCTTAAGGTTGGCTCTGCATCTCGTGGTGCCAGAGCGCAGTCTGTTCAGCGCCTTCCAAGTCTCCCAATCTTCTGTGTGCCCAGGAGGGAGTTTCTCATCCAGTCTCAGCCACTGATTGAGGTTCTGGGTTTTAGACTGCCACTTTTGGACTTTTGCTTGCTGAGGTTTATTTATTTGTCGTGTCAGGGCAACCAGTCAATTGTATTACATTTCTAACAGGACAAAACAAACAAACAGACAAAATACAAAATTTGTGAGTTTGGTAGTTGTCCTTTGACCAGTATCTGGCCACTTGGAGTGCCTCTGGTGTTGCTGCAAGAAGGTCCTCCCTTGTGCATGTGGCAGGGCTCAGGTTGCATTGCAGCAGGTGGTCTGGTTTGCTCTTCTCCACACTCACATGTTGTGGATTCCACTTTGTAGCCCCATTTCTTAAGGTTGGCTCTGCATCTCGCGGGGCCAGAGCGCAGTCTGTTCAGCGCCTTCCAAGTCGCCCAGTCTTCTGTGTGCCCAGGGGGAGTCTCTCATTGGGTATCAGCCATTGATTGAGGTTCTGGGTTTGAGCCTGCCACTTTTGGACTCTTGCTTGCTGGGGTGTTCCAGAGAGTGATCTCTGTAGATCTTAGAAAACGGTTTCTTGATTTAAGTCGTTGACATGCTGGCTGATACCCAAACAGGGGATGAGCTGGAGATGTCTCTGCCTTGGTCCTTTCACTATTGGCTGCTACTTCCCGGCGGATGTCAGGTGGTGCAATACCGGCTAAGCAGTGTAATTTCTCCAGTGGTGTAGGGCGCAGACACCCCGTGATAATGCGGCATGTCTCATTAAGAGCCACATCCACTGTTTTAGTGTGGTGAGATGTGTTCCACACTGGGCATGCATACTCAGCAGCAGAGTAGCACAGCGCAAGGGCAGATGTCTTCACTGTATCTGGTTGTGATCCTGTGGGTGAACAGATGGCAACTACTGGGTGGCATATGTATTATATCAGAAACTAGAGTTGATGTGGTTTGTCCAATGCAGTTTTCTGAATCAGCACCCCAAATAACCAAACTGAAACAGTTTACCAGCTGTTAGGATTTCTGGGAATTGAAGGCCAAAAACATCTTGGGACCCAGGTTGAGAACCACTGCTCTAGTTGCTACATGGTTTCAAGGCAACTGTGTAGTAATGGTGAGGCCATAGACCATATTTTCGTTCTTGCGGACCACTGGTGGTCCTCGGATCACAGGTTGAAAACCACGGACATACAGGCATGGGCCAACTTTGGTCCTCCAGGTGTTTCAAACTCCCACACTTCCCAACAGACTGTAAGGCTGTTGAGTATAGTCTCTAGACCAGGCATGGGCCAACTTGGGCCTCCTCTCCAGGACTTTGGACTTCCAACTCCCACAATTCCTAACAGCCAGTAATGCTGTTGAGTAGAGCGTCTAGACCAGGCATGGGCCAACTTGGGCCTCCCCTCCGGGTGTTTTGGACTTCCAACTCCCACAATACCTAACCACCAGTAAGGTCGTTGAGTATAATGTCTACATACGTGCATGGGTCAACTTTGGCTCTTCCTCCAGGTATTTTGGACTTCAACTCACACAGTTCCCAACAGCCAATAAGGTTGTTGAGTATAGTGTCTACATACATGGATGGGTGAACTTTGGCTCTCCCTCCAGGTGTTTTGGACTTCAACTCCCATAGTTCCAACAGCCAGTAAGGTCGTTGAGTATAATGTTTACATACATGCATGGGTCAACTTTGGCTCTCCCTCCAGGTTTTTGTTCTTCCAACTCCCACAGTTCCTAACAGCCAGTTAGGTCGTTGAGTGTAGTATCTAACATACATGCATGGGTCAACTTTGGCTCTCCCTCCAGGTTTTTGGACTTCCAACTCCCACAGTTCCCAACAGTTCTTACAGTTCCCAATAGCCAGTAAAGTCATTGAGTATAGTGTCTACATACATGCATGGGTCAACTTTGGCTCTCCCTCCAGGTGTTTTGGACTTCAACTCCTACAGTTCCCAACAGCCAGTAAGGTCATTGAGTATAATGTTTACATACATGCATGGGTCAACTTTGGCTCTCCCTCCAGGTTTTTGTTCTTCCAACTCCCACAGTTCCTAACAGCCAGTTAGGTCGTTGAGTGTAGTATCTAACATACATGCATGGGTCAACTTTGGCTCTCCCTCCAGGTTTTTGGACTTCCAACTCCCACAGTTCCCAACAGTTCTTACAGTTCCCAATAGCCAGTAAAGTCATTGAGTATAGTGTCTACATACATGCATGGGTCAACTTTGGCTCTCCCTCCAGGTGTTTTGGACTTCAACTCCCACAGTTCCCAACAGCCAATAAGGTTGTTGAGTATAGTGTCTACATACATGGATGGGTGAACTTTGGCTCTCCCTCCAGGTGTTTTGGACTTCAACTCCCATAGTTCCAACAGCCAGTAAGGTCATTGAGTATAGTGCCTACATACATGCATGGGTCAACTCAGACTCTCCCTCCCGGTATTTTGGACTTCAACTCCTACAGTTCCCAACAACCAGTAAGGTCTCTAGACCATGGCCATATAGCCCAAAAAAACCCACAACAACCCAGCCAGTAAGGTCATTGAGTATAGTGTCTACATACATGCATGGGCCAACTTTGGCTCTTCCTCCAGGTTTTTGGACTTCCAACTCCCACAGTTCCCAACAGTTCCCACAGTTACCAATAGCCAGTAAGGTCATTGAGTATAGTGTCTACATGCATGCATGGGTCAACTTTGGCTCTCCCTCCAGGTGTTTTGGACTTCCAACTCCCACAATTCCTAACAGCTGGTAAGGCTGTTGAGTATAGTGTTTAGACCAGTCATGGGCCAACTTTGGCTCTCCCTCTACCTGGAGGGAGGGCCCAAGTTGGCCCGTGCCTTCTCTATGGTCATAATTATAGTGTTTGTGAGTTTGCCACAGTAGTGTCAATAATACCTACGACCCCGTCATGTTTCCAGTATGGCCTGATTTCCAGATGGGCCTTGGGTAAACAGAAGTCTTCTTGTTCCGCAAAGGAATTATTCAGTTTTGGTTCAGTTCGGTGCCTGGAGCTGTTTTCTTCAAACGGAATAACAGATGAGGAAGTTATCCCATCCTTAAAGCCTCTTCCTCAGCCCAAGGAAGACTGTGTATTCTATTGCAGAAAACATTACTTGTAAGTGTTATAATATGTTTTTGATGGCCGTGGTGGCGGCAGCCATGCTAATACTGCTGGTAGTGGTGGTGGTGATGATGTTGACGTGTCATCTGAGTGGAGTATTATTATGATTATATTAATTTATACACTTCTTTATCTCTCCTGCAGGAGACTCAAAGCAACTTGTATTGCTTTAGAGCAGTGTTTCTCAACCTTCCTAATGCCGCGACCCCTTACTACAGTTCCTCATGTTGTGGTGACCCCCAACCATAACATTATTTTCATTGCTACTTCATAATTTTGCTACTGTTATGAATCGTAATGTAAACATCTGATATGCAGGATGTATTTTCATTCACTGGACCACATTTGGCACAAATACCCAATATGCCCAAATCCGAATACAGGGTGGTGATTTTGTCGTTTGGGAATTGTTGTCGCAGGGATTTATAGTTAATGTGCAGGTACAACTGCACCAGGAGCTCCAATTTTGTTTGCTTTGCATTTAATGTTTGTTATAGTCCTAAGTTTCAGGGACTCTGCAGATAGGTGGCTTCTTTTGGCTGCAATCATAGGGCAAGCCACCTGTCAATTATAGTTAGGTTCCCTGGTCCCGCCCCCTTTTGGGTTTTGGAGGGAATAGGAGCCAGTTTGGGTTCAGTCCACACAGAGAAGCTTTCCATGCAGGACATAATACCAAGAGCTCCTGTAGAAAGCTTCATCTTCTACAGCTTGGCCGGGGTTATACAGCCCATGGCTTGGCCGGGGAGATATACAGCCCACAGTTTGGCCGAGGATCATACAGCCTTACAGCTCCTTCGCTGAGGAACTTCACCGAAACCTGAACTCCTTTTCCCTGGAAGTCTACACAGCTCTGCTTGGTAAGGGTCACTCACGGAAGCCAGAAGCAGTTGGTACCGGGTGCAGGGGCTCCACGCCAACAGAGGCAAAGACAGATTGCCCAGATTAGAAGTTAAGGATTTTCCCATTAGTTAATGTATAGTTTATGAAGATGGTGCCTGTTCCCTGTGGACAAGATTGAGAGAGAGCCAATAGACTGTTAAGAAAGCCTTGAAATACCTGTTTGTTTTCTTTAATAAAGAACTTTGTTGAGCCTTTGAGCAATCTAAAGACTCTGTTTTAAGGAAATCCAAAAGCCTTTAATCTGTGGCAGCCCCTGCATCCCGTTGGGCACACAGAATTTATGTCCTGTCTACAGTCTTATGCACAGGCCCAGCGTGCGATAGCACAGTTAACCTACAATCAAAAGAAATACTTAATTTGCAGGATGCATTCCATTCACTGGAC